ATTATTTATAATAATTTTACTATTTTTTCTACAGTGTGTTGTGTTTGGGAAACGTTATGGTGCCAACGGAAATTGCGTGAGTCTCTTCAACGCCCACACAGTGTTTCTTCAATATTCAGATTTTTCTGATGAAATCCTTGATTTCTTGTGTACATGAGATGTTTGAAATTTTCTCTAGATTTATGATAGAAAGGTTTTGCGAAAGTCCTCTAGGTTTGTTATAGGTCGGTTGTGTTGAAACCTCCTAGATTTGTGATAGCTAGAGATTTCATTAAAATTCATCTGATTTGTGATAGTATACTGTGAAAGATATCCTTAATCTCCCTATGCTTGGTACTTTGAAATATCTTTAATTTCGATATAAGTAGGGCTGATTATTTTTGTTTTAGGTTCTTTGGATTACTGGAGGCTGGAAGTCACATTTAGTCTTCCGTGTATTTATTATCTTTGAATTTTCTTTGTTGGTTGGGTTTGTTCTTTCCTTCAGACATTAAATAGAAGGTGAATTATTTTTTCAAATATGTACGCTATTCTGAAATTAATGATAATTTATGGTTATGAGTTTTTATGTCAAGTTTGGATTATGATTAAGTCAGTTATAAGTTACTAATTATAAGATCAGTGCTGGCACATTAGTCTTTAAGTTAAGTAAAATTTTTAGTTTTAAGTAATATTAAGTAGTATTAAGTGGTAATGGGTTGCATGAAGTGTTGCATGAAGTGGGTAGTATTAAGTAGTTTTGGGTAGTATTAAGTTAGTAGAATATATTTAATGCTTTGGGAGATATTTCATTCTTCTTTGTCAACTGTTTGACAAATTATTTAATTGTCAACTATTCTACATTTTCAGGCTGATATTGAGAAATTGTAGGATAATATCATCTCACATAATTAACCTGTTTCTTCTGTGTTTAATTTGTCTTCTGTTTCCAGGTTTTATTTATGTTTCCTTTCCAGGTTCAATTTATCTTTTATTTCTAAGTTTAATTTATCCTTTACTTCCAGGTTTAATTTATCTTTTATTTCCAGGTTCAATTTATCTTTTACCTCTAGATTTAGTCTTCCGCGGCGGTTTTTCGTTTAAATTCCTTTGATGTTTGATTTACACAGCGATCAAAGATTGAACGTTTTGCAAACGTGCATCAAAAGAGTAATTTATTTGTTTGTTGATTTTTACATGAAAGGAAGGGTGGTTGGGACGTGGTTAGGGACGATTACCGTATTAATATTTTACTACGGAGATCGATATATATGTATTTATATTAACATCTAATGATACATTCACATCAAGAGCACCGAATTATCTGAATTTAAAATATTGTTATTGATTTGAGTTATTTCTCAATCACCACAATAAATTTCATTTCTTCAAATCGAACAAATATATGTAAGTGTATATTCCAGTGATGCATTATCTCGTTTCAAATATACGATTTCTGACTGTGATAATATTTTCTAGAGTACTGGAATTTGCTATGAAATATACTCATCAAACGGTTCTGGTCCTTGTACAGAATATTTTATCCAACAAAAAGCAAGATATTAGAAGTTCCTTTTGATCCCCTGACTTCTACAGTTCGACGAACGAAACTGTAAACACTGTACAAAAACATCAATCTGCTTGAAATTTGGCCTTGACTGCGAGGCATTCCTTACCTCCCCCCGCTCCCCCCGCCACGCTGCGCCGGCAACTGACCGTTGATTGGAACAGTTTTGCTAACGAACAAAGCCGTGCAGCATTGTATCTCTGGAAATCATGGCGCGGGGACGTATCGTTATGTATATTGCATACATACTGCGGAATACTTCGACGGTTATTTTGATAGTACTTGTACAACATTATTAGGTTTGTTCAACCACAACACAATTTTCTTTGCCTAAATTAAATTATCGAATATGAATTTCGCCGTATGTTATTCTGATTTACTTACGCATATACTATTCGCAGACATGTGATGCGTCAACTCTGAAAGTTTTACGAAGTTCAAATCTTCGACTTGTTGCGGTCTTCGAAAGTGGAGGGGGCAGCTAAGTTTTTGGACCATACCGCTGACAGCTAGACGTCGCCAAGTATTGTGAATTTCAATCTACTATTGATGCATCGTTAAAACGTATCACGTAATATCACGTAAGTATATTACCATCGTCTCCTTGTTGCTTAGAACTTTTATATTTATCGTTTGAGTTCTTATACATTAGCAATCTCATTGTGACAAAATCAGATAATTTTTCAATTTGTTCTATTCCTCTTAAAAAATATTAATGTATTTCGCTATTAGAATCATATTAGTTACTTAAAACAAAATTTGACACAAAATCATTGTCTCCTTTGGTTGATTATAATTTTGTACATTTGATTTTGATTTCTTCTGTGCAGAGTAATCATTGATGGTGGGAATAAGTTTGACTACAATATTATACGATACAGCTGCCAGTATGACAAATGTAGAACGTAACTGCTGTTCATCGAAAACTGGTAATTATTGAACACATTTCTTTTATTCTGGGAATATTCGTATCACAGCATTTTCTTTTCTAATGGTAGAAACAAATAAATATCATGTTTTTTTAGTAATAGAGCTATAAGTTGGAATAAATCCATTTGATTTTCTGTAATTAACTAAACAATTGAAGTAACTTTCATGATATGACGAATTTGATTTGATAATTTGACGTGGTCATGAAAAGTGGTCATATGAATTGTATCAATAATCTTAATTTTTAATAAGTATTTTCATATATTTATAATTATTCTGAATAGTCATAATTAATTACAGCTTTAAATATATAATATTATATGTGAATAACAATATTAAATAGAAATAGTTATACGAAGGAAAGAGGTTCTCACGTTATATACTCCACAGATACGTGATTCGTCAACCATGAGAACCTCTACAAAGTTCAAATCTCCGTGCTATCGCGGGCTTTGGAAATGGCGGGAAGAGCTCTCTCGACCAATCCGCTGACGGCTAGGCGACGCCATGATAGGGTGGGGTCATTCTCCTTTTGTACGTCGCGGCAACTGGACGTGAGATCGAATTCAGGTATTCTTTTCATTTATTGTTGTGCAGAACTTTCATTTCTGTCCTTTCACCATGTTAATACCATTGCTAACTTCATTTTCTTAACATCTGTCTATGTAATAACTTTTTGAACATAACTTTGGCACAATCAAATAATTTTACAAGTTTTTTGAAATACCATTTTTTCATTTGGTTGTTGGATTTACTAATAGCTTTTACAAAAGAAATATTAGCTTTCAAATTGAAATTTGAGTACGATTATTCTCATATTTTAATATAATTTGTGATAATTCTACATATTCATGCTAAATTTATGATTTTTGCTGTTGCAGATTATTCGTTGATTCTAAGAATCACGTAGAACGTATGAACGCACCAACGGTCGTATTAGAGAACGAGCAGCAGACACAGTGATGGTTTGTATCCAAAGTCGTGAAATCTATGTCGAAACTTGGTAATGGCGAACATTAATTATGTTACGAAGATAGACTCAATGTGTGTTTGTACTTTCATTTTATTCAAACATTGTTAATGTCTAGGGTAATCGTTGAACATTTTTTAATTACATGTTTGATATTATTGTAAAAAATCGTAGAATGTTGTAAGATTTTTT